ATCAGCTAGCATGGCTGACAGTTGTGGAGGAGAAATATTTAATAAACTAAACTTCTTAGGGATCAAGTGCAGTGTTTGTGCTTATCCATTCTGTTTTCATATTGTAACTGTCAATTTCTGTGGTTAGACTATGTTTAAAGGGCAGAATCAGGATGCATTAGAGTCTTTTTTTTGCTTCAGTGGCTTTAAGATAAGACTCTACATGAAAGTAGAATCAGATGCAACATGTTCCAGAAAGTTGCCACTAAACAATATTGTGTGAATAGAATTGTTCTGTTCCAGTCATTAAATCTAATTAGGTTTGAGAAGAGGTGAATTTGGCATCTCAAGGTAAATTATGTTATTCTGTTAGTTGTTAGCTGTAATTATATTGCAATACATGACTCTCACTGCGAACAAAATAATCCCTATTAATTTCATATTTTTTATTTACTTAGAGTAAAATTACTGAAGTGTGAAATGCTATATTCAAGACACTTATTTGAAATTTGACTGATGTAGATGACTCTGGTTTTGCTGTGATTTCTTTTAATATGGAATGCAGCTTGGAGAAGATTGTCATTGCTTTTGTTTTTATCTGTTGGTCTTGATCTTGCTTTTTTTCCTGCTTGACTGTGTAAGGACTGCATATTCAAACATCTGCGCCATCCACCCTTCTGTGACATGCCCATCCGCTGATCAGCACTGTCTGCTGTTGTGTTATAGACCTTGCAAACAGCTTCCATCAAAATAAGGATTCAAGTTGTCTGTGTAATTCAAGACTTGACACATGTTCATTCAAGGGGAGGGGAGGGTCCTGTTTTCTGGCAGGTACAGGTAAAAGCAGGCATAACCTGAGCCTTGCCCCCTGATTTCAGGATGTGCATTTGAATCAGGCTTTATAAATTGTATTTGAGTGATCTTCAATATGCTGGGCATGCGAAGAGCAACTGTGGCTAAGCAAAGGCATAATTATTCACCTGGAATTCTAAAGACTCTAAAATCAGAAATACTTGTTAGAATATAGTATTTTTCAAGATACAAATATCATTCTTGAATCTATCTCGCTGCTCTAAATGTATTTCTGTCCTCATACTAGCATTCCAGTTATCAATGAGTTTTCAGGTTTTCATTTTTTCCCTTTGTTTTTTCTAGGTTATTCAACAGAGAAATGAGGAATGTGACCACATACAGTTTTTAATTGAAGAGAAAGAGTCTAAAGAAGAGGACTACTATGAAGACCTTGACAGATTTGAAGAAAATGGTACCCAAGAGTCTCGCATCAGTCCCTATACTTTCTGCAAGGCCTTTCCTTTCCACATAATATTTGACAGAGATCTGGTGGTCACACAGTGTGGCAATGCTATATACAGAGTCCTTCCACAGGTTAGATGATTCTCATGCATGAATAGTCATAGAGATTCCAAATGCTAGATCTTTCACAGGTTTATTTTAAAGATTAATAAAGTAGATTTAGGATTCTCTGTCTCTGCATAAATGTGCAATATTTAATGACACTGTGCTCCTCTTGTTTGAAAAAGGACTGTGAAAATAGCCCTGATTCTACAACAGCTCAGTTCCCTATGGTCATGTCCGTGTGCAGTAAGAGACTAAGCTTGAGCAGAGAAAACCTGATCACTTCCACAATTCAGATGTTAGCTTGATACCCAATTCTTTCTTGTAGCTCACTCCAAGATACATCTGCTATGAAAGTGGATGTGAGACAGTTGGCCTGAGATTCAGGAAATGGTCTTGCCCATACTGTTGTATAGTGTAGCAGCAGCTACAGAGTCTATATATGTATTACTTGACAATAATGTCTTCAAATACTTAAGCTGTCAGATGCGCAATAACTGAAGAGCAGAATAACAGAAGTTGTAGTATACTTTCTTGGCTTGTGCATCAAAAGCATCAGTATTAGCTAAGATGAGCCAAACTGTGTTTTTGATACATGTGTGTACATGTGTTCTGAACTGAATGCAGGTGCTGCAATTTCCTCTGGTTATTTACAGTAAAAGAGTACTCTACTCAGAGGTCCATTTAATGTTATGTATCTGTATATGAATAGGATACCTCAGTTCTTCCCTGAAAGAGCTGACTGTTTCTAAAAATAAGCAACAAATCAAAGCGTTAATATGAGAGAAACAAAAGGTAAGATGATGAAAACATCAGATGATTTTTACAGTTATGTAGGCTAATGTTGCACATACCATGTTGTTTCTGAATTGTTGACATACTTTTAAAATGCAATTTTATGTTATTTGCTTTTTTCTGCAATTTGTTTTTGGTGATTTCTCTCTGAATTTGGCAGAAAATTTTGAAAGGAGAGCTTTGTAAGTAGCTCTGCCAGATTTTTCCTGAGGGCATTTACTGAACAGCTATAACTATTCAGCCTACTGAGGATGGGTATCAGAATCCTTATAACCAGAGTTGATGCTTTGGAGAACAGAGCTTATTGAAAAGGGTGTTTGAAGGAGGTCACTTAGGAGGAAGACACTGGAAAGCTTTTTTTACTGTATAGTGGGAATGGTTTGGCAGATAATGAATGTGATAGTCTAACACAATTTTCCAAAGTCGTCTTGCAGACTAGAATTGCACTTTGAAGTAAAAATACTTCTGAGGTAAATTCCCTAATTTAAAAACCTTGTGTTTTAATGGAGAAATGCATAAAGTATATATTCTCTTCCATTCAGTGTTGTTATCTAATCAAACTGAATATAATTGCTCCATGTATATATTTTATTATAAAACATAAACTTTTTTTTTTTTTTTTTTTTTTTTTAAATTCTAGCTGCAGCCAGGAAATTGCAGTCTGTTGTCAGTTTTCTCCTTGGTTCGGCCTCATATTGATATTAGTTTCCATGGGATCCTCTCACATATCAATACAGTCTTTGTACTGAGGACCAAGGTAACTAGACAATATTTGCCTGGCTTGTCTTTAAGTATGCTTTGTCAAGATAAGAAGAAGTGTTGAAAGCTCAGAAGTCTTCAGAAAAAATTCTTTGCACAGTAGTATGCTCAGTCCCTTTCGAGTCTTGAGCCAGGAAAAAGTCACAGGTGTGAATGCATGTGTAGCTGTTAAGTAGAATGCTTTATAGGGATGGTGAAGTACATATACTACATGTCTAATGCTTTGTTTGCAAGGGGCCAACCCATTATATGGCATTGTACCAATGTAGACAGGCAATTACATTTACTTTTGCTTCATAACAGTATGGGAGGCAAATATGAAATGTGTTCTTGCTTGGACCTATACATTCCTATGCAGTTCTATGTCCTGTTTCTAGAGAGGGCAGGAGAGGAGGTGTGTGGTATGAATGAGTGCAGAATGTAGAGTAGCACCTACTATGTCAAAGAGCTTGTTTATTTGTAGAAAACTGTACCTGAGAGAAACCAACAAGATTTCTTAGAGAGGCTCCCAGGCACAGATAAGAACTTCATACAATAGGCAATACTTTTGTCCAACTATCGTTAAGAAGTGATGCAGAAGAAAACAAGAAGTTGTGAACTTAAAGAAAGATACCATATATTATATCTTTGAGGTAGCAAATCACAGTATTATAATATGAGTAGTGTATGGTGTTCAAATTAGAAATCAATTGGGTTTTAATGTAGGCTCTAACTCTATTCCAAACATTCTGACTGCCTTCATAGTGAAGGCACTTACGTACATGGCCTTGTGCGTAACACACGTACCATTGCCCTTATATAATTGTGATTTTTCATCACCAGGAGGGACTGTTGGATGTGGAAAAGCTGGAGTGTGAAGATGAACTGACTGGCACAGAAATCAGCTGCTTACGCCTGAAAGGGCAAATGATCTACTTGCCTGAAGCAGACAGCATTCTCTTTCTTTGTTCGCCAAGGTACTTCAAACCTTAAGAGTTCTGTAATATTGATTTTCGTTTGACAATTACTGATTTTAAGAACACTTATGAGAGCAGTACTACAGAGATTAATTGGTTCAAATATTGATTTATTTTATTTTGATGTGTTTACACTAAAAGAGGGAGGAGCATTTAAACACCAGAACTTGACTTATTGTTAAATAAGTCAATACAACCATTTGGATGCCCTGGCCCAGTTTGTACAAATGGGAATTCCTATATTTCCATGATTTTTGGCGAGTTTTGTGCTTTATCTCTTATACTTGAGAGTGCTAAGAAATGTCACAATGATTTGGTTTCCTATGTGGATTCATATATTTTTGCAGTAGTTTTAATATAATAGAGCAGTGATGATTATAAAGAAGTGGTTGGAATGGGGGACGGAATGGAGGGCTTCTTTAGCTGAGAGCATGTTGAGCTAACACATCAAATTAACCAGTTATGGTATGTTAATCTGATGCATAAAAGGGATGAAGACTGAAAGTGGATTAAGACAGAAAGGGAAGAGCCTACCTTAATGTAATGTCACTTTTATTTGTGTACTTACTGAAGAATGTGCATTTGATATGTTAATGGAACTCATCAATGAGAATTCTCTATTGAAATGCAAAAATTAAGAGCCATGTGTTAACATGAATAAACACAAATAAGGTATTTCATAGAAGGGATATGTCGTACTGCTCACCACAAGTTCGGAAGCATATTGTTTCTTCCGTTATTCAGCAGCCTCTGCTATTCATTTGAGTTTTAAATGCTCCTTTGGCAAATTTAATTGTACCTGTATTATTATGTATTTGTCCACATTGCAGCGTGATGAACTTGGATGATTTGACCAGAAGAGGTTTATATCTGAGTGATATTCCATTGCATGATGCTACCCGTGATCTGGTTCTTTTGGGAGAGCAGTTCAGAGAGGAATATAAACTGACTCAAGAGCTTGAGATCCTCACTGACAGACTGCAGCACACACTGCGCGCACTGGAAGATGAAAAGAAAAAGACAGACACGTAAGAACCAAATCCTGATTTTGAGCTGAAACAGTCACAGCAATATACTATTTATAGCTATCTTCTTCAAAAAATAACAGAGACTTGGAAGGAATATAAGAGATATTCAGAGCTGATAATTTTAGAGTCAAGAAAGAACATTTTACTTTAATGCCTCATAGGGTATTTCTTTATTTAGATTGTCAAATGTCATCTGCAATCCAGACTGCTACATGCACAGGTGTTTTGATGGCTCCTTCCCGGATAAGGAAAGTTACAAGAAGTGAACTGACAATCCTTTTTTGCTTTGTGAATTACCTGAAACAGTAGTTTTGCAAACTTTCTTACATGCAGTCCCTGTAGCCAAGATGAATTTGATGAATGCCCAAATGCTACTATTTGCCAAGAGTTCTGTAAACCAGCTGTAGACAGACCACTTTATCTTTCTGGAGCACCGTGCTCACAGGTTAATAGAACAGAAAAATATATCTTATAAGCCTTGAAAATAGTCTGTGTAAAGATGAACTTTTGCAAATAGGCTAATGCTATGAATTTGATTTTATAGTTACCTGTAGAAGTGGATTTGGGACTATCTAGATAATACTACTATCTACATGTAAGTACATAATAATAAAGCATATACATTGGGCCCCAGATCCATTTCTACAGGTGACTGTAAAATCAAATTCATAGCATTAGTGTATGGCAGCGCTGCTCAAGGACTACTGGCAGGTAAATTAAACTGAAGTTTGAGTGACAAACAGCATGGGGCTGATGGTTGACTCTCATTCATAAAACATAGTACCCATCTCTGTAATAGAAGAATTTATGGTGGACTATGCTTGTTTAGTTGTTTTGTTGTACTATGATTTCTATTTACAGATTTTTTTTTTCTGTAGTAGAGTAATGGAAAGTATTGTAAAAAGTCTTGAAAGGGATGGATGGAAGAGTCAGAGAGAAAAGAAACAAAAAATATTTTTTCTATTAATTCCTGTTGACTTGCTTTATAAAGTAATTTTATCTTCGGGAATTCTATAGTTCTTGGCAGCTGCTGGCACAGACAGTGTCAGTTACTATATCATGTGCCAGAATTATTCACTAATTATAACTCATGCAGTAGTGAACTTGCCAAAAATGCAACTAATGAGGGTTTGTGCAGGAGGCTGTGTACAAAATGATGCTCAAGATTTGTGAAACAGCTAGAGATTTTCAGCTTGCCCACTTAGCTGTGTAAGGAGGGAAATACACCTTAAGGCAGCAGTTAGAAAGTACATGAGAGTAGGGTGAAGCTGTGTGTGTGTATTTGGATTTTATTTGCATAATTTGTTATATGAACAAGTGTTACTATGTCGCATAGACTATTAATTAAAAAAAAAATGCAATACACCCTAAAAGCAGCATTCTCAACAGAAGAGGAGGCATTTAGCAATGCATGAATTGATCAAAGGTGGGAAACTGATCTCTTCATGGCCTTTTTTGCAATGTTTATGGTTTTGTGAGCAAAATCAGATTATATGAGCTGAGGATATGGCAGAAATGCTTAAGCAATAAGCAAAAATTATCCAAGACACTATTAACAGATCACGTCAGAAGAATTAGTAATATATGCCTCATTTTGTTAGTAATTTAGATGTATTAGAGGGCTTGAAATGTCATGGCTTTAAGTATGCTGAGGTAGATCAGTTCCTGTTTCCCAAGTGACATATTCTTCAGTAAACATCTTTTATATTGCTCTTTGATGATGCGAGTATGTTACAAACCTTATAGGAGATACTAAGTTGTATTTAAAGAGGGCTGATGTAAAGACCTTTCTCCACATTCTTTCTGTTTTTCTTGTGCCTTTCTTTTCTTACACGTTTAGATTACTGTACTCTGTTCTACCACCCTCAGTGGCAAATGAGCTGAGACACAAGCGTCCTGTTCCGGCTAAGCGGTATGACAATGTGACCATTCTTTTCAGTGGCATTGTTGGATTCAATGCCTTCTGTAGTAAACATGCCTCTGGAGAGGGAGCCATGAAGATTGTTAATCTCTTAAATGATCTTTACACAAGATTTGATATTCTGACTGATTCACGAAGGAATCCATTTGTTTATAAGGTAAGCAGAAGATTTTCAAAATATTTAATCTGTGTCTTTTCAATAATTTTCTACCTTGTCACTCTTCCGTCCTTTGGATTTTAGGCTTTTTTTAAAAAAAATATATGTTCTCAGTCTTTGAACTGTGTTACCTGATATTACATAGCTAAAGAAGAGTATGCTGTGTATCTCTAAATGGGTGAAGGAACATAAAGGGCTTAGTTCTCAGCAGGATTTCTGCACAGTCACTCATTAGATGGGTATATAAACTGCTTCCATGCTTAGCAGATGTAAACACTTACACAAGCAGTTTGTGGTTCTGCTAACACTGTGCTTTAAGTTTTTCAGTCACATATCTGGGTCTCACAATTGTAAATTGTGACATGTTATTCAATGTGGATTTCATTCCTTCATTAGGAATGAGGTGTAGTTGCAGATGTGACTGGTAGCAGGTGGAGAGAGATATCCCATATGTATGTACATGTGTATGCTAGTGTGTTTATATGTGCAAGATTCAGTCCTAGCTTTTATTTGAAATTAATTTTATGTTCTGTACCAAGTGAATCAAAGGTATGAGTCAGAACCAACGTAGTGCTCAGTTTCTACAGAAATTCAGAAGACCTCAGAAGAGAGTCTCAAGTTCACACAGTCACAGTGTAATTTCATTTGCTACACTGTGAGCATACAATAAATTCTTCAATAACAAGCAGAGGTGATGGGAATTAGGGTGATCTGAATGAAAGTGATGGGAATATATTTGAAAGGACAAGCAGTCTTGAAGGAAGCACTATGTCCATTCTAGTACTCTGAAGCCTGTGATAATAAAGTAGTTTAAAAATTTATATCTTCATAGGTGGAAACAGTTGGGGACAAGTATATGACAGTGAGTGGTCTTCCAGAGCCTTGCATTCATCATGCACGATCGATCTGCCACCTGGCATTGGATATGATGGAAATAGCAGGTCAAGTTCAAGTAGATGGTGAGCCTGTGCAGGTTAGTAAATGTGTGGGCTTGAATGAAGAGCCTTTTCTTTGAGACAACGGTAATGCTTTGGAATATGGTAATGCTCAAGTCCCAGTCCATGCAAGCTTTGTTATTGTTAGATTTTGAGACTGATATCTGCAAATAATATGAAGACTCACATGTAGATGTGACATGTGCGGTTCCCAGACCTTAAAATCTAGTTATTGTGCCTAACCTTTTAAATGACTAAATTAGATCACATCATTTGTCTGTTTTCTGAATGTTTCAATCAACAAATTCCCAGCACACATCAAGTACAATTCATTGAGTCTTCTTCATCTCAATGAACAGAACAATATTCCCTCACTGATATTTTTGGTCATGCTTCAGATTGTCACGTCAACATGAGAAAATATTGCATTAAAAAGAAAAGTACAGTTCCATAGGCAGTGATGGCAGTGATTGCTGGCAACAATGTAGAATAGGGGAAGTTCACTCATTGTGGGATTTTATGAAAATGTTGTGGCATTAATACAGAACTGGGGAGGCTACATTGACCTGTCCTCATCAGGAGGCTGTGAGAGCAAAATAAGTAATTAGTGTGATGCATATTTCTATTTATATGAATGTTACTGGTCTAACACCTAGTTTAGATCTGTGTACTTCGCTTTGTCACTGGGAAAAGAAGTGAGAAGGTTTGATTTGGGACTTTAGAATAATTGTAATGTGCTGTAAGAATGAGCTTCTTCAGACCCCTGTCCTAGCTCTTGAGCTTTTAAATGCAAGATACCACAGAATCACCATGATGTTTCCTCTGAGATACATCTTTTTTTATTGACCTACACCATCCATTTCTGCATCTTCTGAGCACTCATTAAACACAGACCTCCAGAATATGCCTCTCTTTCCACTTTTTGTTAATTTCACAGTACATAATAGCAGCATGGCATGGTGCATGTTGGAAAAATACAGAGTTTGTTCTTTCATGTGGAAGGCAGAGCCATGACACTGCACTACAATTAAAAAAAAGTAGCACAAAACACAAAATGCAAAATGCAAGGCTTTGAAGAAGCAGGAGTGGTGCATTGAAAAAATAAACCCTGGTATATAGAAATGGCATAATACCTGTATTTAGTCATAAGCATCAGATTGGTTATGTTGACTTTGAATATTCAGACTTATTTTTTTCTCTCTAAAGATAACAATAGGAATCCATACTGGTGAGGTAGTCACAGGTGTTATAGGCCAAAGGATGCCACGTTACTGTCTCTTTGGAAATACTGTCAATCTAACAAGCAGAACAGAAACTACTGGAGAAAAGGGGAAGATCAATGTCTCTGAATATACTTACAGGTGAGTGATGCAGTATTTTTATTGGTGTTAACATCTTAAAAGAAATCACTTTGTCAACATAACATCAAAGTGTCTTTGGAGTTGAAATGACAGGACTCCTGCAAATATATGCAAATATAATACTTCTCTAGCTTTGACTCTTATGCTAATTTGCTCACATATCTATAGCATGTTTAATATTTTCATACAGTGTGTGGTGTGCATGCATAGTACATACATTTACATGTTTTTCTCTTTCAATTTCAGGTGTCTTATGACTCCAGAAAATTCAGATCCTCAGTTTCACCTGGAGTACAGGGGTCCAGTTTCTATGAAGGGTAAAAAAGAACCAATGCAGGTTTGGTTTTTATCCAGAAAGAGTACAGAGACAGAGGTATGACTAACCAGAGTGTAATTTTTTTTTTTAAACAAGGCATAAACATGACAAATTTAATCTAAACCACTGAGATCATTTGCATTCGCAAAACTAAATGTTCCCTAGAAAAAATGAAGAGTTTTGTACAACACTATTTCATTAATGCATTTACTGTCTTGACAGCACATTAAAGTCCTTTATTATTTATCTTTACCGTTTGTGCAGTCCCTGAAAGAATACTTTTGTATTTTAAAAAGTCCTTGAGGGAATGCCAAATGTTTAAATATTTATATCTCTTTCTTGCGGATTTCTCCACAGTACTAGATTTTGCAATATAGTGTCCATTTATGTTTAGCTGACATGTCTGATTATCAGCACCTCAAAATTCACCATTTGCTTCCTTACAGTGAGTGAATAAATGTGTCTTCAAATATTTAGGCAACAGTCCAGCAACCACTTGCAGGCAGGTTCACATCTAGTGTGTATGGTGGTCTGTTAATCCCAGGTGGATCTGCTTGTTCAGAAACTGGTGCATGATAGAAGCCTTGCTTTAGAAATATGCAGGGTGAATACTGTTTCTTCAAAGTGACATATGAGCCTAAATCCTTTTCTCAAAATGATGTAGGGTAAAGCTCTTCAAGCACTGAGTGCTCTTTAAGCTTATGCCTCAATTTCAGAAGTCTGGGCATGTATTAACCAAAATCTCATTAAAAGCCAATGACATCTAGACTCACAAGTGTGCTACAGACACTTAATCAGGTTACAGTATGCCAGCTGATCTGCCATAGCTGAGCAGGTGCATGCGCTCCACCCATTGCCAACAGGGAGAACAAACAAAGGGTGAAAGTAGCTTGAATTTTGAACTGAAGTATTAGAAAAAGAAAGAGTACATTAAGATAATGTATTTAATCTTAAAAATACACTTGGCTAAAATAATGAAAGTCATCAGTTACTTTGGCTGAAATAACTCTTGTAAGTCACAGGAAGTTAATTACGCGTCTAAATACTCATGTGCTTCTGAAAATGAAATTTCAGCTGTTAAAATTTTTGGGAAATTTAGGAGATCTAATCTGGATTTATTACCACCGGTACCCAAGTATACGAATACTGACTTTTTAATGGTAACTCCCAGTATTAACCCCCAGTATTAAACTTCAGGTGAGACCCTGTACTTTAGCTCTCCTGAAGCCTGTATTTTAGTATATATTACTTACAATAATATTCTGGCCACTTTTGATAATACTTTTTGTTCTGTATCAAAAGTAACTATAATTTCACATGGCTACTATTCTTTCAAATCTGCAGTTGTATTTAAAATATATTTTAATTAAACACCTTTCACTTTTTTCTGCATTATAAATTATGTCCTATCATTTATAGCAGAGTATATTGTAATTTTAAACGTAAAATTTCAGAGGGGTACTGAGTCAGGTGGGTATTTTCCTTGTTGCAGCCTCACGCATGTTTAATATGAATATAAGATTCAGATAGTTTAGAATTTTAAATGTTGCAATTTCCTTTTAAAGATCTTGTACAACAGTTGGTTTTGTTAATCATCACAGCAGTCCTGAAAGGTAGTTGCTGATACTATTATCTAGTAATCGAGCTTTGTAGAGGGGTACACGAGGGCAGAAATAAACTTGACAGAAAAATACTGTCAGCCTGATTTTTGTGAGCACTTAAGACTCACACTTTAAGCACACTCAAAAAGTCTCTGCAATTTTTGTTAGTTTTTGATAATTCTGAAATTCAGATATACAGGTAATTCTTACAGATAGAAAGAATTACCCCACCACAGGTACCTCTTCTAAATTGTAGTGAGTTTGGGAGAACAGGGGACTAAAATGATACATTCATGTGGTGACTGGATAATAATTTTGTCAGAGGTGATTTTTGAAGTGAAAGTGAAAAAATATAATCCTCTAATCTTTTAATGCTTTTTCATTCCTTGCACAATTTCATCTGTCTATACACAAAAGATGCACTGAGTTTTACGCCTTTAAGATTTTCTGAATTGTTTGCAGTTTCTCTTTGTCTTGTGAAGATAATCTTCCTGTTATTTCTGGCACTTTATAGGCTGTACATAATAGTTGTAGTCCAAAAGCAGAAATCAGATAACCAATTTTTTATGTTTGGTTACCTTAGAGTAATCGCTTTGCTTTAGACAAGGGTGTAGTCTTGGTTTTCTTTTCAGAAACTTATTCTCTCTGACCTTTCAAACACATACGTGCTAATGTACGTATTATCGTGTGCAGTGCCGTTGATTTCAGGAGGACTATTCATGACAATAAATATGGCATGTTAACATATATTCAGAAACTATATGGTAAATTTCCTGAAAGGCCACTCCAGAATATTGCAAGAAGTGGTGTATAGAAGTAAACATGAAAATATTTCTTAAATCATCCTGAAGATATTTTTGCTGATTATTCTTTTACTGTGAAGTTTTCCACTTCCAATCTCTTTAAATCTAGGGTGGTTTCACATCAGCGATGCATTTTCCTTTTAATTTATATCCCCTTAGAGAGTGATTAGTTCAGCATTTGCAAATCTGTCAGGATAATATTTTACCCTGAAGGCCAGTAATTAATATATGGTGAGGAAAGAGGACAAAATACTTACAGCTGGCATAGACATGTGAAACCACGGCTTAAAATATGCTGTCTCTCTGCTAGGCCAGTAGAAAGTGATAGGGCTGGAGCAGCTCAGCATACCTCAAACTTGGCATCTCTAATATCAGCAACCATGAGCAGCAGCTACTTCTGAAAAAGACCTGATTTACAAGAATCAGCATTGGTTTGGAATGCTGCTCCTTTTCCACTTAAAATACATCTTCCATGGTACCATTGCAGCAAAAATTAGACTTGCATCAGAAATATACATAGAACAAAAGCAACTATGACCGATTACTCATTTTGCATCTGCTTGTTTGCATGTCATAAGATTAATTATTACTATCATTATTATTTTAATAGAGGTTCAGCTGCAGCTTCTCTCTTGAGAAACAGATTTTTTGTAAAAAGTAAAGCTTTCAGAGAGCCTTCAATGTCTGACTGCAATTTCTATCATTCCCCGCTTTCGAATAGTTTTCTGCCCTGTCCCCACATTACTGATGGGAACAAGTTAAAAGTTCTTCAGTCAGAGATAGTAGTTCATCAGAGAATGTAGGAATTGTTACATTCTTACATACTAAACACATGAAAGAAATACATGTGTTACCTATGCTGTGTTTTATTATTCGTATTATTTACTGATATTGGTTGCAAATTGTAAAATGTATTTTGTCACTGCATTGACCTACCATGTTGTTGCTTCAAAGAAAATCCCTTACTTCTCAAATTCTACTTGCATGCACTCAAGGAAACAAAGCAAGATGCTCTCTGAGCTGAGGGAAAAGGAAGAGGACACTGGATAGGGTGCAATACTGTCTCCAAATAGGCTGCCAGGCAGTAAGGTTGATTTATGGATGTTATTTCACATCATATCTCCCATTGTTATGTGCAGTACCATTGTCTTTTGCCCTAGTCCTGAAGTCATACTCACTGTTTTTCTCCAGGCTGGCTTGCTATTTTTTTTTTCCTTAATGTTTGGTATTGTTATATCTCTGCTATGAGCATGTATTTCAAGCTTTCCTTTTTTTGATATGCATTTTTTGCATGTCAGTCATGTGGCCTTTCCTACTACCACATACTATTGAATAAAATTTTGTAATGTGCACGCCACAACTAACCACTTCAAGCTGATGCTTTACGTTTTCATCTTCATCTCTGAAGTATAGTGGTTACATGAATCAGTGACATTTCTGGAAAGACAGGTATTTCAGTTGTTGGGCAGAACAATTAACCTGAAGAACTATTTTTAAAAATAATACCTAAAGCAGCATTATAAAAATTATTGTATAAACATTGTTTATCAGATTTAGTTCTGCTATTACTATGCTTCCCAGTCATTTTGTGATTAACGCTTGATGCACTGTAAATTCCCAGTTAGAAAAAGATTCCTCTTTTGATATGATCCTGCATTTTCCCTTTGTAGACACTGTGTAAACATTTTCTATATTGAAAGGGGGCAGTTGTTTGTCTGATACTGCCTTTTCAAGCATGTGCCAATGTACTTCTGATGAAATGCTGTTCACTTGCAATGTATTTCTTATTTATATTAACTAAATTAAGTTGTCATGTTAATAATAGATTGCAGAACAATTTTAGAACACCTGTAGTGCTTTTGGTTTGTTTCTGAAGGAGCCCCCAGAATTGAAAGACATGCTGCCAGGACATGGTTGTCATAGTTGCCTTTAGGTTTAGTCTCTCTAATTTTCAGAAATTATTTTATTCCTTGGGAGAACCTGATAATATTCTAGGTATCATGGCATAATTAAGGGATGTAAAGCTTGTAAGGGGACATAGTACCTTTTATCAGCTGATGCAGTTAGTAAAAATGGAAAAGGTTTCAGATGCCTAGACCTTCCATAACTTCAACATACAGTGCATTTATGTGAATAATATCCATTCTTATGTGACTGGTAAAATAAGATAGTGCAATTACTTTGTGTATAAAAATTGTCTGTATCTAGTATACCTTATCAGCACAGAATATATATGTATAAATGTTTTATGTTAATGTGCAAAAGAAATTGCAATAAATTATTTTTTCCACTGACTTACAGAAATGTTGATATTTTCTTTTTGGTAAAAGCTTTATTTCATTGTTTGATACAAAACCAAGTATGTTCTCCATTCCATAATTTGAAGTCTAAGTTTAAATAGTTTATTGAGCATTGTTCCAATGTTTGCAAATGTCCAAGAGTCTCCCACATTGAGGTATATGGATCACATCTTCAGATCAAAGTAGTGTTCAAAATGTGTAGATTAATGCTACCAAAAATAGTAGATGAGGTCACAAAAATTAATACATTCCTTTGAAACACTTGGACGATATTTAACATACAAAAATTATTAGTTGTTGACTTTGAGCAGGATGTACATGACCAACCAAAGCTCTAGGAATGAGAAATGAAGAGAGGAAGCCATATACATTCCTTGCCATCATCTCCCTGTCAGACAGCAGCACATCCCTGCACTCCATGAGATAGCCTAAAGACACGGGATTTGTGATGGCTGTGGTTGTGCTTTGTCATAATTCATGCAAAAGGGTGTGAAGTAACTGGTTTCTGTGTTATGCTTCAAGCTGATGGACAATCGCATGCCAGCAAACTCAAATAATGCTCTGAGTTTATATTTTACCTTCTTAATAATTTCAAAGTATTAAAGCCTCTGTTAAGCTACTCTGTAACATAACCAGTTTCTTAAAGCACTAGAATAATAGCTCATATATTGTGTTCGTAGAAGAGCTTTTTATCTCAAGGAGACCAGTATGATTTAGGCACTTAAGCACTTCTATTACTAGCACTGCTCCTCACTTAAATGCCACATTCAGCTACTAAAATTATACTTTGATTAAATATTACTCTCAGGTAACAGTTAAAAACTTCTGCAGGTATTTAGTTCTTTTATGTGCGCTCTATTTCCTCTTTCATTTAACTATAGTGATTTACTTTTTCAATAGAAGCTCTCTATCTGAAACACGAGGCAGAGTAATTGCCAGAGTCTGTTTCAAAGGTATTTACAAATGCATCTCTTTTATTTTAATTTTTTTTTTAAGTTGAAACAAGGAGAAGAAAGGGAAAAGCAGCAATGAAATTGCAAATTCTGGAACGCTTAGCTGTTTGTAATCTTCTGGATCATGTGCTTTCCTTTGAATTCAGATATACAAAAGAATTTGGGTTTTTATGGTATTATTAACTAAGGCAGTGGCCATGCAGGGGACTCTGCTATCTTAAAGTTGTCACTGTGGTTGGCTTCCGTATGCAATGCTGAGTGGTCTGATTGCTGCCAGTGTTTCTTGGATAATATACTCCCTTCTTTTTCCTAAGACAGGGCTTGAAAAACAGCAGAAGGACTCTTGCTGGCTTCAGTAAATTTTGAAGCAAGCTTAATAAGCGTGTACTGTCAGTATTTAAAAGTTACATTATAAACCACAACTAATGAGGCCATTTGATATATGGCCTGTATTTTTAGATTCTGGTCTTTTCATCGACCTTCCCCATGTGGAATTCTATCAAAACTTGAATTTTTAAAATGTATATGGGTAAGCAAATATGTGTGTTTACTTTTTTTAGCAAAAATATTATCAATTTAGCATAGTAAGAGGAATGTTTTATTACTATATTTACTTTTTACTCAACAATACACTTCTCAAAGGCTCTGTTACGATGTTATAAATTATTAGCCTTATGCAGTCAATTTTTATTTATGTTTGCATTCTATAAGGTAAAAACTGTAAATCCAGTCCTCAGTGGAAACAAACTCTGGGAACATAATTTCACGTTTGATAATTTGCGGGGAAAAAACAGAATGATGAACAATGAATGAGACACTCATTTCGGTATCTATTTACAGTGTTATCACAACAGTTATTCTTGTACTTTTGACTTACAAAAATAAATTAAAATGTTGTACTGCTGTGGTTAGGGAACTAGAAAGGCTTTATAAATAATATCTTGAGAACTATCTTGAAACTTCAATAAATGGGAAGGGTATGGGTGGTATACTGCTGGTTTTAACTCCATATATATTTCTGAAAATTTGCACATGGGGACAGACCCAACAATAAGCTACACAAGCAGAACTCCATTTTCTTTTAGGAAAGTGTGGGCTTGCAAAATTTGCCATTCTGGCAAACACCTCTACAGAAATCATAATTGGGATGTAGCTGGAAAGTGCAAAAGTCAGCAGGTAGAGCAGAAGACAATGTCAGGACTCCAGCTCCAATCTCTCTTGATATCACAAGCTATTGCACAGCTCATAGTTCAATTCTTTTTCCTGCTGTATCCAGGACCAGCTTAGCTGTAATGATCTTGGAGGTATAGCATCTCTCCCTGGCCCACAAGTTCGATGGTGTAAGAGAGTGATGCATTATTCATGGCAGTAGTGGCCTTTATCCATATTGCTGTGATTTCTTTTGGGACTATTCATTAAGTCCAGCTGAATGCACACTTAAATTTTGCAGGATCTGGGGACTTTTTCTTCACCTTCACCACAGGTTTGTAGGAGCAGGAGACAGCAGTATGTGTCTTAGACCTCAGTACAGTAATAAAAAATATTGCCCAGAAGACTGTTAATTCACCCTGCTGCTATTGGGCTATATTTTGTTTGTTTGTTTGTTTGTTTGTTTTTAGAGGAACTTCATATTTTTATTCTTAACTCACAAAGGCATTATTGACAGCAGTGGTTTATTAGCACCCAGAAAAGCCATTTTAGCTCTTATATACGTATATTAAAAATATATATATATTTTATATATATATACACACAAATAAGGGACATCCTCCAGGAGGGAGTCATGAAGACAAAAATGCAGAAAGCAATTAGGTTATGTGAGATTTTTTTCATTACTTGGTTACAGTGTTTAATGTAGATGGTAGTACAAAACCTATCTGACTACTTACAGGCTCACTTTTGAAAGACAAGCACATGCACAAGAAGGAAATGGGAAGGGATGTGCTAGCATCTGATATGAATAAGAGCTGGGTGGAGCGCGAGGCCCCAGAACCTTTTCTTTGAACAAAACTCCAAAGCTAATAAACATTTGAGTGTGCTGCAGCCAAGCTGTGCAGTGCAATGTACAGTCCGGTACTCTGAAGCTTTGGTGGCGGTGTCAGTAACACCTGTCTCCATGGAGCCAGGGCAGGGTCTGAGGTATCCACATCCTAATGTGTTTTTCCGTCATGATGTAGACAGATCAGCATCATACGTATATTGTCACAAACTGTAAAATGGTTATTCAATGCATTCCAGAGCCATCATATATTAAAAAAGAAAAAAAAAAAATGTTGGATCATCATGTTCTGGCAGTATAAAAACTTGAAGAGAATTTGTTACTCGTGTTCTCCAGACACTCGTCAGGCAGTCAGCATAGTGGTACAAATGGGAGTTTATGGGCTATTGCAAATTAATTCTGTCAGTCACTGTGTTGGCTTATCTCCAGGTAAACAGGTGTTACTGGAATTTTAGTCCTTTTCTGTTTAAGTGCCAGGGACACACAGAGGGTCTGTGTTATTATTTTTCAATTAACAAGGTCCTTTCTTTCCTGGGAGAGAGTCTGAAACTGTTGTCATTTCATGCACCTACCAGACAATGAGAGGGGAGCAACTAATAAGCCAGTAAACAGAACCGTGGTAACTAACTGTAAAGAAAAAAAAAGTGGTTCCATTCCTTGACCTATAGCTGCACATGCAAGGCACTATTATTTTTCTCTATTGTTCTTCAGACTTCTGGCTGGCTTTGAATGATAGCTGTGGAAAAACTGCAACAATACATGCTGTCTCCACAATTCACACTTTGTTTGTTATTAGTAGGAGAAGGCTAATGTTAATTTTCATCATAATGGTCAATGGGTCTTTCTGGCAGTCTGACTGTTTTGGAAATAATGACAACCAGGGAGTGTAAGAACAATTTTCTGATTATTATTCTGGGATGAAGATGTGTGTTCTCTGTTATAAAGGTTTTGTTCCAGACTGTTTCCACATATCCAGCAGTCAGATTGACATTGCCTTTGTCTTTTTTTTTTTTTTTTCCAGAGATGATTATGGGAATTTCAATATATATAAAGCACCTAGACAAATTTTATGCTACAGAACAATTGTACTTTGAAGGGGAGTGATTTTGTGTGATGAGGATCGATGAACTCACAGCAGTGAGCCAATGCTAGCACACATTTGTTTTTATCCCTTCATATGCTGGACACCTCTGGCATGAAGCCTTTGTGATTTTTTTTTTATATATTGCAGGTTCTCAGGGTCATTCTAGCTTTCCAAAATTGATTTTACACTTTGATAAGTGTGGTATCCTGTCTAGTGCTCAAACAACTGACTTGTGATTAAAATGACAGAACTTGGCTGAGTGCAGACAAAAGACTGAAAGTG